AAAATGATACACGGTGCGCTACTTTGTCACACGATCGCTTAAATCCGTCCGTGAAATGTACTTCTATCCACGCTGTATCTGTGTGATTAAAGTCGAGCTAAATTATCGCCGGACGTGATTATTGCTTCTTGCTCGTCGACCGTTATCGTTGGACTTACGAAACTTATTGGACTACGCTTCCTGTGTTTTGCACATAGTCATAAGACATAAGAGAAACGTATCACCAATTGTTAATTATAGCCTTATTTCCGATCTCTTTTTCGAATTGAATTACTATTCTAACGTCTAGTTTCTTTGAAAAATATGTCTTAATCTTTTTTTTTTGTTTTGAAAAATATGTATATGTTTCTTATAAAGTAAAGCTAAATAGTACAAAAAATTACTGTTGTCTCGACAGAGATCAGAGAAGTTCATTAGTATATAAGAAATAATGTTCCGTTGAGAGATAAAAATTGTAAAATGAAATAATTTATCACATATTAAATTTGCGATTTATTGCACCGATGACTATTCTACTTAATATTCCTTAATCGAGACACAAGTTCTCATGAATTATTCATGCCGCTAAGTGAATCCCGTTGCAACTCATCGCTTCCTCGTGTTTTAACATATTTCTCACATTAAATCTTTCTTTCACATTTTCGTTAAATTGATAGTTGCACACGGTCAAGAATGTAACTTGCCGATCTGCTCGCGTTGTTTCTCGACCACGTCCGTTCGCGGTTGTCTCTCGAGGTAAGGCGACGGTATCGGAAAGAGAGAGGGGCGCGCGTCATTAAATCCTGGCGCATACAGCCTGGGTACGGGACTAATCTACGTCCATTAAGTCTAATGGGAAGAGAACGGCGTGCATTCCGCGAGCTGCCTGTCACGCGGTTCGACGAATCGCTGTCATCTGCATGTTGTCGAAGGAGCGAAGGAGCGAAGCAGCGCGCGCACGACCCTCCGTCGAACGAAAAACGAGTGTCACTGACTTTTCCGCCGGGTACGTTCCCCTCAACCCTTACCGAACGAACAAAAAGCATCCCCTGTGACCGAAACCGGGTCATTAAACGGCCGTACATCATCCACGCGAGACGTATCTCACGGGCGGGGCACCAAAGGGTGCGGGATACCAGCCCCGCCTTGTCTCATTAGCTACGAATATTCCGAGTCCTATCAGTGGTGATCGAAGGATGCTGCCGTTGAGACTTTCTAATTTCCAAATTATAACGTAAAACGGTCTTTATCTCAAACGAATATATTTTTTAGCTCTTCTCGCAATTACGACACATTAATTTTGCTTCTAATATTATCAAGAAATAAAAACGTGAAAAAAAAAAAAATAAAACCGTGCTGTAAATCTATTTTATTGTTTTGTTTTAAACAACATTGTTAATGATGAGAATTGCAGAGATCAAAAGAGGTTGGTATTATTTTTAAAAAAGCGCGTATATATTTTATTACTTGCGATTTAATGATAAATAAATTTCGGATTTTTCTCTGTATTTTGTCTCTTTTAACAAAAACTTTGTACTCGCCTGTATCGCCTGGATTCATGCGACATTACGATTCACTCATCGTACCAAGATCCTCGAGGCAACTCAAAGCGCGTGCCGACACATCGATGTCGTTGTACAGACACATTTAATACTACGTATCGGCAATCACTCAACAATGCCGGACATAGAGCGCGACATAAGCGGGCCTGTTCGTATAACAGGAAAGCCTGTGGTCGCTGCTTTCTTATTGTCTACCCTATATGTCTCCGGAAGCAGGGCCAATCCGCCGGAAAGACGAGACCGTTAACCTGCACGATCCCGAGACCTCGCGGCCGTGCATGCCAACGCTGCATTATTGGCTTTTTGTATGCTCATGTTAAGTGGTCGTCGCACACGCCCGTGCATAATGCCCGAACCCTTTACACCTCCGGGTTCCGATTTGAGCGACAGTTCCGGGCCTCGGCGTTGGCCAAAATTCTCTGTCACGTTTCGCACGATATTCTACTGTTACTACAACTTGCAAAAATATCAATATTTTTTCAATCAAATTAAAATATTTGATTTACTCGGAATTACTTTTACAATAAACATAAAGTTGGAAACTCTGTGATTAGACACATCTCGTCGCGCGAGTAATAATGATAATAAAAATAAGTAATTATAAAAAAAATAAAATATATAAACATTATATTTTATATTTAACGACAAAGTATAAAAAATAAATTGTTTTGTTATTGAACACAAGATACAAAGAGAAATTATAAGGAGAAAGTCGCGTTGCGTGTTATAAAGCTATAAGGGAAAAAAATCGAACGTGTACTGACGTGTGGTACAAAGGTGATGACGCACGCAGAAGAATTATAAGTAAATAGTAATGAATACTAATTATAAAATTAAAAACCAGCTTTTGCTTTTTGATAAATGTAAAAAGAAAAAAACAAAATAATTCAAAAAAGTCATTTCTTTTAAACGATAAGACGTGTCAACAATAACGAAAGCCTGTAGACTCATATATTATTTTTGTAAATGTTAACACAAGATACTTTTCTATAGGTTAAAGTATTTTTTTTACATAGATCTAAATTATTTATTACATGATAGCGCACACGTGCGCAAAAGTAAATGTACATTTCTCATTTACGCGCGGCACGCACGATTATGCTAAATAATGCCGCACATATATATGATCTGATTAAAGAATATCATGCACTTTACAAGTCAAAGAAAGCTTTCTTGTTCGTCGTGCTAACTCGTTCACCTCGAGGCGAAGGAAACGCGAGAATAGGGAGTGTCGCACACGAAACTTTACGAGCAAACATGCATTAGCTGAATAAGCGTAATTAAATGCGAAAAAGAAATCAGTTTATCTTGGTGTGAAAAAATTAACAACCGCGCACTCGCAAGAGAATCTTTGCTAAACGTCTTTCGTGAAATTTTATTTAAGAAGTGCGAGTGCTATAAAAAATCTATCGCACAAAACAGACATCTTGATTGTTATTCTGTGTATCTGCGAATCGGACTGACGCAGGTGTAACTGCGATTAGCTTCGTGATGTCGCGTCTTTAGTGCCGCTTAATAGCGCGTAGAACTCGCGCGTGTGGTTCCGGTGCGGCGTGGGCGCGCGCGCGAGTCGGCGCGGTAGGTCTGCGCAAAGGAGGATATCGGTCGCCAAGCCGCGACTAGACCGAATGGATGCTAAGCAAGCTGTATTACTCGATCGCTTCCTTGCATACGAAGCAGTTTCCACCGGAAGTGCGTCACGCACGAGTAGTATAGATTCCACGCGTTCACCGCTGTTGTCAACCTGGCCCGCCGCGCCTCGCCTTTAGAGGAACGCTCATCCTCGCCCGCGAGTACGTGACTGTCTGTTACATATATTTACTCTTTTGCGTCGAGTACGTACAACACGCGCTTGATCGCGTAGTTGGCGAAAATTTATTGAGAGCCTCGATCGACGGCATTGACGTAAAAGAATGCTACGAATTGAATCTTTATCGAGCTTGTTGACATGTCACTACTGGATATTGGTCCGAGAGATAATAAATGACACACACACACACACACACACACACATACAAGCTATTTCTAACGCATAGATTAATAGAATCGTCTATGATGAAAGTCTTCGAGTAAAATTCACTTTACTTTAAGTGTAATAATTTATTGATAGTCAAATATTCGTAATTGATTATATTTTCTACTTGAGCTGTGATTGAAATATATGAGTGTATGTATAAATCTATGTGTATACTGTTTACTTGTAACTGAAATATGTGAGATCTAAATATCTAATAGAATCAATATTTTTTTCTCGAGTTCATACTTCGATCGCTCGTTACATTCGCCCGAAATGAGATCCAGAAAAGTCAAAAGACAAAGCCAACATATTGATTTCTCGATTCTTTGTGAAAAATCATACGCCGATTGTTCAAACGTCGCATCTTTTGGATATCCCGAATTTAAATCTTTCTTGGATTGGCGTCCGATTAGATTTGAATTTATCAAACGAGACCTTTCACCGGTCGCGTCACGACACACTACGACCGATTCTAAGAGCGCGGAGAAAAAGCGTCGTGGCGACAGTCGCGGGTCAGCTGAGCGCTAATTTATTGGAATGTTTATGTTTCTCTTTCGTCGTCTTATCTCCGTTCGTATATGCAAGCACATCGACTATATAAGAAACATATATAAACTTGATCGCGTTTCTCGCTCGCGATGGAAAATGCATTAAAGCGCGTCAATGTTGAAAATACAACGTTGTGGAGATTTACGGAGTAATTAAGATTAGTCCGCGTTCGAACGGTCTTGTACTTTTGCGAAGAACTACGCTGCTCTCGCTGCGAGATATTGTTTTTTGTAACAACATATTATTTCACTGGCTTTAAAACAGTTGTGTCCAGTTTAAGGAACTCTAATGCTGATTATAAAATTATACAAGTACTTTTTTTTCAGTATCTCTTGTGTAAATTTTTCTAAGCAATTCTTATCTCGTGAAAACTACTAATGTTTGTAATGATTATTTTGCTTTGGATCTACTTCATAAAAACGGATTTTCTTGATATTGAATGATTTTATCTGTAACGTATGCTCATTCAAGCCAGTTAAAAAAATTTGTGCGCGTATGATAAGCTTTAATTTTTCTCCCGAAAGTTTATAAAATATATACATATATTTTTTTGCTTTTCTACAATATTACTGATTAATTTAAAACAACTTGTCTAAATCTTTAGTAGATATTCTGTATTTTATCAATAAATTATTGTAAAACTTTTTGACGATTGCATCGAGTGTTTAAAAACAAAACTAAAAAAAAATATTGACTCTGTCCGCACAATGAAATACAATTATTTATTATTTTGTTAAACATCCATTATTTTGACGGTGATTTGTATGTAAATAAGCATGAATTTCTTTTAGGCACGATAAATATTGACGTCATGCGTTAAACTTCTAATGTTATATACGACCTATGCAATTAAATAAATGCAATATAATTCGAAAAATATTTACAAGACTCACCCGTTTCCGAAGGGATAAGTCGCGAAAGCAGTGTCGTAAGGATGATACACCGAAGGATAAGGCCATACTGCTGCAGCTCCAGCACCTAGATTTTCTTTCATATCCAGTCCAGCAGCCTGTAACAGCCGAACAAATATCGAAAAAATCTTAATATTTTGTTTTCTATAATCACAATGAATAACAATAATATAACATAGAAGTTAACGATATTATAGACTAATTATTTAGAAAATAAATACTGTTAAGTAAAAAATAATAGAAGATATTATCTAATAATTAGAAATAATTAGATTATTTCCTTATGGTTATAACATGTAATATACAATCATCAACAGCATATGCATGCACAATTATTCAGTTATATAAGAACGGATAATTGCACGAGACATTTTCTATTGAAAAAAAAAGTCAGAGCGGTTTTATGCCATCCAATTTTCTCGGAGGCTATTAATACGCGAACGGGCGCGGAATCATTAGTGGTCGAACCGATAATTTTCACAGTCGTTTTAAGCGACGATGCGATCCTGCAATTTGCAGAGCGCGGATCTGCACGCGCCATGGATTTATTTCGCAGTGGAGCGTATATGCACCACACCGAACCCGGTCACTCATTATCACGCTTTTTAAATGAAATCGCGCAGAATGCGGTTAATTGGTCGAAAGATCCATTTTTAGAAACGAACGTCGCAATTAGTCCGTATCTCAACTCGGTTCGGTTCGATCTCTGCGATGCATCGACCGTGATGAAAGAATAGCTAGCAAAGCGCTGATAATAATAATTAGGATCGATGTGTATGGCTCTCTTGTTTGCTTCTCTAACCCGCGACCTCAGTTATACGACAGGACGGTGGCTATTAAATTTCTACCGTATTTCATTTAATACGTATGATAATAGACTCATAAAAGGTTCCGCATTTTTTCGCATAATTGCACAGACGCGCAATATATTCGTATTAATTATAAACACAGAGAAATAATTATCTGAAATATACACATGAGATCATAAATAAACTATATAATGAGAAAAACAAAATAGCTTAACCTAACGTGATAATTTATACAGCTATATGGCTGTGTAATACGGCAGGGAATTATGTGTAATGTAAAATTTATAATACCGCGACCAAAGCAATTACCTGGAACAGCGTAAACGCGGATGCCAAGGTGTCGAGGGCAGAGGAAAAATAAACGTTTTCACTAAAAAGTGATACTTTAATGACTTTATACGTGGGATATCACGAACGTTGGAACTCGGTGCGCGCAACCTGTATAATCTACCACCTCGTTACGAGCAGGATACACTATATACCTCGACCCTTAAGCTCGATCATAAAGAGCGACGATAACAACTCGGTCCTAGCGACGACGGCTCGGTAACACACGACAGTGTCCCACTGTTACGGCAGGACGGATTCATAAATTTACGCTTCGTCGCTATTTTCTCTCGTATTTGCGTGTGGTCCGATAACGCTCACCAAACGAATGAACAAACGAACACTCGCTGACGCGCTCCTTCTTGATTGTATATTAACATCGCATCGTCCAATTACGGCGATAACATCTCGATACCGTATAAATAACGACACGAAAGAGCACGCGGCGTATTTTTCGCGCAAGCAACGGAGCGAAAGTTATGAAGTGCATCCAATGCGGGAGCGTCAGGAAAAACTCGACGTGACTTCATGAAAAATCGAATCGCCAAACTTTGTTAATCCCCTAAATAAACACATCACTTTGGAGCATTTGGCTGGCTCGTGAATATAAAAGTTCGGATCAGAATTTAATCCGCACTCGGTGCGATACAGAAATATAGAAGTTCGTATCGGGATTTAATCCGTGTGATAAAAATTTTACGGTGGATTTTGCGCCGCTACTATTGCCGGCAAGGCGAGCATTACTGGCATCGGAAAAGTGCATTGAACGTTTCAACATAAACGTTTCGACGAGAAACCTGAGATCAACGCCGACGGAGAACGCGGAAGTGCGGCGAAAGAGAAGCTTCGCGCGAGATTCCAATGGACCCAACTTCGTTCAGACATTAGCCTCTTGCACTTTGCGTCGAGTAGCATTCGAAGTAGAATCCAAAAATCTCGACGGAGCTGTTGCAACACTACGAGAGTGTAAGAGAACTCTCTCATAATAATGTATTTAACATACGCAAGAACGTAAATATTTTCAAAAATAAATATAAATACGTAGAAATGTCAATATACTAACATGTTTATGAACAACACACAATATATTACTTCTTTAAGTGACACATTAATTTGATTAGAATCATAAATACTGTTGCCATTTATCTTCATTATTTTTTTTTCTACATGATAAAAATACTCGATATGTACATATATATGTATGTATATTGCATTATAAATTTGTCTCTCTTTTTATTTTAAAGCGTCTAACCAAGTTGATCGCTTGAAAGATAGCATATTATCATTTTTACAAGTATATGTGATTAAACAAACTAGTTTTTGTTGCGTTGCTATCTTACAAAAACTCAAATTGAATAACAAAAAGTTTCTCATTACGCAATTAGTCTTTTTTTATTAGCATCATTATGAAATTTTTATTTATATCTACGTTAAGAACAGCGTTAAGAAGTACATCTACGTTAAGTAGTAAATGAGTCATTGTATAAATTGTCATGAGAGAGAGAGAAATATATTTGACATAATTTTGTATTCTAACCAGTGCTACGAAAATATAAGTAATATGAGACTAGCTTAAGAAATTGAGGAATTTGGAATTTTTCCACAGCATAATATCATAAAAGAACATCTTTTTTTTACGAATCGCTTAAGTTTTTCATTGTATATACTAATATATATATATATATATATATCTCTAATATGTATCTTGTCGATATATATAATAGATACAATGTGTCTATTGTCTTTATGTTAAAGAACATTCTGGAAATCATGAGCACTTTTTATTCTATTCAACAAAATATTGTTATAGGCGATTCAAAAGCTATTGAGCTTATCACCTTTACCATAACCGAGCGGTTATTATACCCGAACTGTATAAGTCATACATTTTAGGAGATGCAACACACGCAAAGTTTAAAGATTCCTTTTTTGTATACAAAAGTCACACAATTAAATTTCTATACCAACAGTTTTACTTCTGTTTACTATATTTATTCATCAAATAACATCCATTTACTCACCGTGGGTGTGTAAAACGGCGCTTGTTCCGCGCCCAGACTGGGGAAGTACGCGGCCATGCCTTCGGACGCTGCTGCGGCGGCAGCGGCCGCATACGGCGCGCTGTACATGGAGAGCGCCGCCGTAGGTAAGCCTCCTAGACGCGCCTGATAGCCACCTAGCAGCTCGTATTGGCAGGAACAGACGGTCTGACCTGTCAACGGATCTGTGAAAATCGGCCGGCCAGTGTCGCAGCATCTTGCCGCGGCTGGCCCGCCGGCCGATGGCGGCGGATGACCTTGGGACGGGCTGACCGAGGTAGTGGGACTACCAGGCGGTCTCACGACCGCGCTCGTCACCGCCATCCTTGCTTGAGACAGACCGGCTACGTCTAAAGGATGATTCGTTGTCGTAACAGCGGCTACGCTGCTGACCAGAGACGAGCTTCCTGCGCTCAGAATTGCACCGGCTGGCGAGACCGAGGACGGCGCCAACGACGAGCTAACTGTCACAGGACACTGCAAACAAACAGATCGCAAGATTTCTTATTTAAGTTGCACAAATTTATATAACTATAATATAACATATTTGCAATTTGCTACTCAATTCTATTGTTTCTTTTCTCCAAAGCTAAAGCTTATTAAAAAAGGATTTAATACGCCGAGACTTTGAAGAGAATGAACAAGGCGTGTTAAAACGCAGCTGGCAGATTATAAGAATCAAAGACGATCGCTGTTGTGCACTTTGAAAAGATCAACGCAACTGCAACGATCACGTCCCCTTTTATTTCCAACGTATAAACCAAGAATCTACGGGCCCCGGGCCCATAATGTTCCTGGTGGGGCCTCATTAATTCCATATCAAACACTACGGCTAAATAGATTAGTGGGTTGAGTGCCTTTCGCGCCCGGGAACCTAAACAAACCCCCGTGAAACATCCCTAGCTCGAGAAACGCGCTTCTCCCCGCGATTGTCCCAACCATCCATCCATCCATTGCCTCGTTTCGGGTGGCCCCAAACATATTGTTGAAACCCCTGAATGCATTGTGCCGGGGCGAAAAACCTATACGAGATGCGCATTATGGCGTCGAGAGAGAGAGAGAGAGAGTCGCGTTAATGCGTGTCGTCGATGCGTCGCCGATATTTCGAGGGCCAACTGTCGCACGTTGGTCAAACGCGTGTGCGTGCACGGTACATAATGTATCTCCGTCACGTTTCTCGATCGAGATAGGACGTGTCGTTTCGATCGACAATAAAGCTAATAAAAACTAGTTCCATTATAGTTTCCGGCGTGTACATATTTGTTCACAAGGAAAAATGTGTGTGCTTTAAAATATAATCTGTATTTTTGTGTCGAGAGTTGTGTCGATTTCAAAAGAAAGACTCCGCCGACGCACGATATCTCTTTTGATTTAGAAAAATATGTTCAATATTTGCGTCACGCTTAAAAGCGAAAGAACCGGTCCCTCGACGGATGCATAACCATACGTCGGCCATTCTCTTCCAGAAATCGTAAGATTCCGAGGAGTTCGAGGGAAAAGCCGGCAATGGCAAGAATGCGCTTCGGGACTTCGGATCCGGGCAAAGGGTTAAACGACGAAGCGTGTTGGCGAGTGTCCGCGACCACGGGCCATAATTCAGTCCTAGTCCCCAAGAGAAGAAGCCAGGCGGCGGAGCTGAGTTACTCGATGCGATCGCATCGAAGCTTCTTGCCATTCGCAACCGTGCAAACCACGGCGGCAACTATATCACCTCTGCGAGGTGTCGGCCCAGTGGTGCCTCAGAACACTTCTGCCGACAAAACTTTGTATTTCAAAACTTCATAACGCTTGTTTGTGATATTTATAAAACAAAAAGAATAGTATTTAAAATTTTCTCTCCTTCTTTTCATTTTAGAAATTAAATAAAAATTGAATTTTCTTTCTCTCTAGTTTTATTTTCGTGTGTGTTAACTATTGCGTTACTAAATAATAAATGTGACCAATCTACTTTTTTTACTACTTATCTTTTTCTTTTTTATTTACTAAGCACTTATATACCTGTAGTAAAAAAATAATATTCAAAAATCTAAACCTTATGTAAGAGGAACGTGTACACTATATCGATTTTTAATTTTACACGAGTAATCATCTATGTTAGTATATTGTAAATTCTCGATAAACACTTCAATATTTCAAGACTTTGGAAGAAAATTTTTCAAAATCAATATTTTACGTGTTTAAGCACCACTGGACTCGTCGCTGCTGCTGTGGTCTTTAAAGTAGCGTTTGAGGTAGTATTACGTGGCACGCAGCACATGCCGGTTTGTGCTGGTAGCTACCGACGAAAGCCATAATTATTCATGCACCGTATACGTGCCGATATATCGACGCGTTAACCCTCCGTTTTCTCGTTTGTGCCACGGGCGCGCTAATTGCCATCACTGTGATTACTGTTGCGAATATCTCTCGGCAAAGAAACACGCGAAAAGTGCACCGCGAATTAGTAATTGAATTACGACAAAGTATTTATTTCGACTGAAGAATATTGATTTTTCTTTCTTCTGTTTGCTATAATAAAATATCAGTTTCTTCATAAATAATTTACATGGTGAATCGTTTTTAAATTTAAACGCAGATAAAAAGATAGAGAAAAATATTACGATTAAGGAAAAACTTATGGTTTCGCCGTTCTCCTCATATTAGACATATCCTACAAAACATTTTTCATGTCTAATACGAAGTTTCGCGTGCTGTTCGGGGCGACTGTTATCATTCTTTGCACGCCAGCTATTCGTTAAAACTAGAATCGTATCATTCGCGTATCTTTTTTGGAATTATATTTCTGAGTATTTTCAGAAAAAAAGAACGAAGCACACAGATATCACCCGTCAGTCGAAAAAAAATAATCTCTAGGATTTTCTACGTTGCGTTAAATAAAATTTCAGCACGCGAGAGATAATTCCTCTTTTACGATATTAATGTAATTATACGTTACTTACGTCGTAACATACGTTGGTGTAAACTTCTGCGCGAACATCCGGTACTCGATGCGCATTATAAAAACCGGTTGGCGATAAAGCGAGCTACCTGCGTGCATTCGCTGCCGGTGGAGCGACAATTCGTCGACAAACGTACACGGATATCTCAACATTGCGGAGAAACACAACGCATCTTGGTGTCGGATGACACCTTCGAGGAAAGTTTGCGAAAAGTTATCCCGGAATCGAAACCACCACTCACACTAGCAACTGGAATATTCACGGATACCCGAACCGCGTCGTCGAGATCTGTGCACGCGTCGCGAAAAACCGATATCGCACGCATCGTACACAGCGACTCGACGATGAATGATGGATCGTCATCCGGCCTGGGAAAAAAAGAAAACTCGATGTCCTCGGATTAAAAGCGGTCGTAAACCGGCGGATACCCGCCGCGCAACTAAAGACCTGTACTCGGTAACGACAGCGGCAGCACCTGGTACACGCGTCTTATGATTCGATTTGTATGCGCCGTGTAACGATCATGTCGACGCGGGAACAAAATAATGGCGCGATCCGATGTTTCTCGGAGCGAGAAAAAGCTTCATCACGAAAGCATTACCGAAGAAGATTGGAATAATAAACTGACATTTTGTAGAAAAAGAGAAAGGATGCGTGTGTGTGTGTGTGTGTGTGTGTGTGTGTGTGTGCGCGCGCGCGCGTTAGAAACTGAATTCCAAAGTTTGAAACTTTTTCTATATAATTATATTGTCATTTACATAACTGTCAATCAGTCATTGTCTGACTTATGCTAGGACGTTGCATAAATAATATTTGAAGATATGTTATTGAGTATATATATATATTGTACTACAAATTTTTGCTTTAATTAGGTTAGGTAATTGAATAAATTATACATTGTGAACGATATCGCTAATGAATTTTACTTTGACGGATCTTTCTCACAGTCCCGTGTAAGAATAATTTATTCAAGGAAAATCCAGAAGATACTACGAATGTCTCTCTGAAGCGTTATAGAGCTCGATAAACGTAAGAGTTGACGGCGGGTTACGATAGGCGATACAGAGTGTCAGATAGAGAAGAGACTTGTAAAGAACGCGAATAGGAGGTACGTCGAATCGACGGAAACGAACGACGGACCTCCGTAGTGCGACTGCACTTCCAGGATTTATAGGCCATTCGGAAGAGAATCGGTTATCCTGTGGACACAGATGCGCCGGTGTTTGCGCACGGAGCATTTGTCACGCGTGTCCTGCGAGCGAAAAGGGACCGGCGGCGGTCGATCCCGATCCTCTTTATGCGTGCCGATGATGCCCTCTTTGCAACGAGGCCCAACCGAGTCAATATTGACTCCAGGCCAGATTGATGGACCTTCCTCGCGTGTGTGTTTAGGCCTCGCAGCACTCACTTATGTTTCCCACTCACCTATCCATATTTCTCTCTTCTGTCTTCTTTATCCGTCTTTTTTTTTCTCTTTTTATTTGCTAAATGTTACATTGGAAAAAATCGTGAAAATCCTCGCTAATTCCACACAGTGCGAATGCGATTATTCTTCAAGCTCGAGATCGAGTCCGATCGATGGAGTAAATCTTCTTATCGGACGAGGATCGGCAGCTCAGTATGGCTTCAAAAACTAGTCGTACATGGAAATTGCTAAACGAATGCTATAATGAAAACGTCTAACCGAGTGAATGCAAAAAAAGTGCGATAAAGTATCCAAACGGTGTTTATAGCATATAAAATAGAACTAATTAAAATTGTCGGTTGCAAAACGGCAAAACAGGCTTTAAATTCTTCGTGAATATACGAGTTTAACGAATCGCATAAAACTTTCCACGTTCGAAAATACCTATGCGAGTGAAATTTTAACTATCAACAATTTAAAAATGTAACTATTTCCGCAGATTGCTGCTGTGCAAATTCAATTTTTTTTCGTGACGAGAAATCAATACTCTCCCGGTTATAGCGTTTTGTTTCAAATATCCTGTATAAATTATTATCTTTTCACGATTAATTTATTCGGTTTTTCTTTTATTTATCATTTAAGGGAAAAACTTCCCACAACGCAGAGAAAAACGGTTTTGTGCACTTTTTCATACATCCTACATCGCAACTCGCAATTGGGGAACGATCGAAGCGGTTTGTGAAATCTCGTTTCACATAAATAAAATATCATCAATAATTTGATCGCGTCGATATGCAGCTAAATTAATTAATTCCTCCCTGCTAATCGCTTACGGTCACACTCCCGTGGCTCCGAGGGGGAGCAAAATGCGCGGGCGTTATCGTCGACGTGATCGCCGTGGGGAACAACCGCGATCGTACAATTGTATCGTTCGCGGAGGTTCCCGAGGGGCCCCGTGGCGAGAGAGGTCTCTCGTTCGCGCGTATTTCGACAAAAGCTGAACGGCGAAACTGCGAAGTCGCCATCCGACACCGAAGTTTCGCCGTAAAGCGATTACCAGCGACGACGGCGCGTTATCGGAAGAGCACCGGTTGCGATACACACAGCAGCGTACGTACCATACCTAAGGACGT